TCTGTCACTTTTGACTTGTACGATTGAACATCTTCTGTTGTTGGTCCTCTGTGGTAGACCTCTTCTGTCAACACTTGCAGTAATACTTTTTCATACTTTTACATTAAATGAAATATGAGAGCTAACAAAAATATAATAGAGATGGGTAGTACTTCCACAGCTTCTTCAAGCTCGGAAGCTACCGTATCAGACTCGACAACTCAGGCTGATGAACGTGGTGATGATGATAATGATAATGACGATGATGACGCTGCTCATCCAACTGCTCTTGAAACTGTGCAAGTTGCAGCTATAATTGACAATCTCGATCAGCTCTTTGATGCCAACCAGAATCAACAAGAATGTCTGAGTCTTCATGATCTTTCCTTTGACGTTGATTTTACTAAAGTCTACGGCTATTTTGGCGAGCTTGATCAACTTTTTGATGCTATAAGGTCGGATGAGGGTGTATCAGTTGAAAATTTTGAGAGGTTGTGTGAATGGGAAGGAAAAGAAAATGGTGAGGGTAAGTGTGGTGTTGAAAAAGAAGATAATGCTCCAGTCCTAGCCGATACACTAAGTCGGGCAACCACATCTACTGTTGGCATTCATCTATTGAATGTTGATATTAAAACAGACATAGCTAGCCCAGCTATGCAAATGCACGCCCCACCCAGCCACTTTGTTGCTTCTCAACAAGCAACAGTTTCAACTTCTCATGGGGATTTAACACATAATCTATCTGCTTCTCATTTCGAGAATGTAGATATTGAAACAAGTAGACCTCTGCCCTAGTCTATGACTTCGATTCAATGCACCTTGAGTCTAGAGCCGATACACTTAAGTACACATAAGTCTCGAGCATCTGTTGCTCAATCTGCAGTTCTTAGTGAAGTATTTATCAACAAAGAATTACTTTCAATGTGTTTTGAAAACAAATTGGAATACAAACGAGTGTATTATCACCGAAAATGAATTTTGCATTTTGTAGACGTGATAATAACAAGTTGAAGAAACAGCTGAATCAAGTATTAGAATTATGTATGAAAAGAAAATACACAAGAATTGACTCAATGAAATACTTGATCAGAGATAGTATTCGTTACAAACAACAATAAAAATAAAATCATTTAAAATCACACTTCTGAGAATAATAAAACCATTTTGAGTTCAGAGAAGTGGTTTGAACATTTGAAAAACATTACCTAGAAGTTGTCTTTCTTATAAGCATATAAACATAAAGATTAGAAAGATATACCTATCAGATCAGATCAGAAAAATGATGTTATGTGCTCCCCTTGATAATACAACTCATAGCCTCATACAAGTGGTTATTATTTGACACTTAAGAATATTAAAGGTCAGACTCAGACTCCCCTTCAACATATGGATCAGATGTTCATACACACAGATTTAACATTCCAATCTTACTTACTAAGAATGAAAACCTTTTCTCATCGAGTGGTCTTGTAAAAATATCAACAAGATGGAAATTTGTTTGTACAAAGTGCATTTCAATTGATCATTTTTCAACATTATCTTTGATAAAGTGATACCTGATATCGATATGTTAGGTCTTAGAGTGTTGAACAGGATTAGCTGTTATAGCAATAACACTCTTTGAATCAAAGTTGATAGGGACTTTGTTGAATATATAGTCGTAGTCTTGAACTCGTGTCTTCATCCCAAAGCTTTTGTGAACAAGAACTTACTGCTGTGACATATTTTGCCTCTGTAGTAGACGTTGAAACATAGTTCTACTTCTTTGAAGTGCAACTGACTAGCTTGCCACCTAAGAACTGACATGATCCATATGTGCTCTTTCTGTCCAACTTACAACCTACATGGTCTGAATCTATTAAAGTAGTTAGCTCAAAACCAGAACCCTTAGGATACCAAAGGCCGAGATTTGGTGTGCCATTGAGATATCTTAATATTCTTTTGATCGCAGCAAGGTGTGACTCTTTAGGGCTAGCCTGATATCTTGAACAAAAGCATGTTGCAAACATAATATTTGGTCTACTTGACGTTAAGTACAATACATATCCAATCATGGCATGGTAACTTTGTTGATCTATAGCTTTTTCAAATAAATCTGCATCTAATAAAGTTCCAGTTGCCATTGGAGTCTTTATCGAAGAACATTCAGACATATTAAACTTTTTAATAATATCTTTGACATATTTTGATTGATTAATAAATATGTCTTCATGGAGTTGTTTTACTTGAAGAGCAAGGAAAAAATTTAACTCACCCATCATACTCATTTGAAATTTAGATTGCATTATGTCTGAAAAGTTCTTGCAAAACTTAGGATTTGTAGAACCAAAAATGATGCCATCCATAATTTTGTATCAAGATCAGATGCTTACCTTGCTTTTTCAAGAATAATGTAGTATCAATCGTACCTTTCTTGAAACCAGACTTTAATAGGAATTGGGTTAATGTGTCATACCATGCCCTAGGTGTTTGTTTTAAACCATAAAGTGTCTTGTCTAGGACATAGACATAATCTGGATTTCCAGGATCAACAAAGCCTTCTAGCTGACTTACATAGACTTCTTCATAAAGAATACCATTTAGAAATGCAGATTTGACATCCATTTGATATATCTGATGTTCTTGTGAGCCGCAAACACCAAAAATATTTTAATAGATTCAATGCGAGCCATTGGAGCAAAAGTTTCGTCATAATCAATGCGTTCTTGTTGACAGTACCCTTTTGCAACCAATCGGACTTTATTTCTCACAACAATTCCCGTTTCGTCTTTCTTGTTTAAGAAGACCCATTTTATACCAATAATAGATTTATCTTTAGGTCTAGGTACAAGTCTCCAAACTTGGTTTCTTTCAAACTCTCGAAGTTCATCTTGCATAGTTTTAATCCAATCTGGATCTTGCAATTCCTCATATGGTTTCTTTGGCTCTATAGCACCAAAAAAGTTAACGAAAAGACACTCGTTCATGGTCGCAGATCGTGTTTGCACTCTAGAATTCACATTACCAATTATTTGCATCGAGGGATGATCTTTTGTCCACTTGTGTATACAAGGTACGGGTTACACATCAGTTAAGTTGTTCTGATCATCGTACTCATCGGTTACAACTTGTATCTCAGCTTGAATTTCTGAGTATTCAGCTTCATCAGCAAATAAAATAGACTCAGCAGATAAAATAGACTCAAATTGATCAACATCGTGTTGAACAATTTCAACTTGAGTCATTGCTTGAGCTTCAGGTTGATAAGATTCAGAGTGAACAACTTCGGGTTGAACAATCCCAAGTTGATTGTGTACTTCAGCTTGAACAGGCTCAACAATTTCTGGATGAACATCATTTGATGTTGACCAACCAGCTTCAGATGGTCCAAAAATTTGTGTAACTTGCGGAATCGGGACCACTGTTTCATTAACTTTAGGTAAGTCAGATATTTTAAATTCTGCAAGAATATCTCAAGTTAATTAAAATGCATCTTTAAACAGTGAATTTAAATTTGATTTAACAATAGAGTCAGAATTCATTGTTCTGTTCTTCGGTACAGGCTCTACACTGATTTGTGTAGAACCTAAAGAATGTATATTGAGTCCTGAATCGTGTCGTTCAAAAGTTGATGACTCATCAAATCTAACATTGATGCTTTCAATTACAATCTTTGTCAGTTTGATGTAGACTTGAGAGAATATCCAATAAAGTAACCTTCATTAGTCTTTCTTTTATTTATTATCTCGTAAGCAATTTTATTTAATATTTTCACAATGATCATACGAATTTGTGTGACGCATGCAGTAGAAACAGCTTCAGCCCACAGATATAGAGGCAATCTGGAGTATATTTGGCTCAAAAGACTCAAAGTGCACATAACAAAGTTCGAAGACCTGAGGTGCGTCTTCTTGTTTCAATATCTAAATCTTCCAAATGAATAACAGATGGATTATATGATAAATCTCCATGCTATATGAAACAAGCACCTTTTGTGAGATACTTGAGTAGCTAGGTGGGGTGACACAAGTACTCGACACTTGGTCCATGTCTGTTTCAATATTCATCATCCAAAGAATGAGAATAAATAGATTATATGGCAACTTGGTTAACTATTTCGGTTTACAAAGGACTATATTTATTTCTTTTAAGTCTTGTCAAACACTCCCTTTAAAAATGTATCTAACCTAGAGATGTGTTTCATGGGTAGGTCCTTCCGGTTCTGGATTGAGCATTGAAACTTCTAAATTCTACGCACTTAGAAAATTATTGCACACTCAAAGATATATACATCAAATTTCATATAGAAATGAAGAATTGGTCTTGAATATAGAACAAGTGTTGTTCAAAAACTAACACATTTAAGGTATCTGTTTAGAATTATAAAGAAACAAATGCAAACGCTAAACAGAATAACTCAATACGCATAGTGTTTAACAACTATTATCTCTTATAAAAATCGAATCATTGATATGAAATAAGTCACAATTATTATTTCTGATAAGAATCGAATCATTGATATGAAATAACGTACAATGAAAACAATTAGAACATCAAACGAGTGTATTTCCACCGAAAAATATCAACGAATATATGGGACATGGAAGTAACAAAATTTAAGAACAATTGAATCAGATATTGGAATTATGCATGATGATAAAATACACAAGTATTTATCTCAAAGAAATACCCGTTCAAAAATATTACGCGTTTTTCTTTTTAAAAAAATCATTTAAATCCTCAATTCTTAAAATCATAAAAACATTTGAGATCAAAGAAGTGGTTTGAACATTTGTAAAAACATTTTGATATATTTAGAAGTTGTTCTTTTTCTAACCATATGAAAAAATAAGCAGAAAAAAATATTGCTTAAAAAAATTATCACAAAAAATCGCTCAAAACCTAGCCGATGAGTGGTTTCATCGCTCACCATTGTGGTCGATGAGGGGTTCATCGCTCACCACAAGGATCTCATCGCTCAACTCACAAGAATACTCAACACTATGCCAACACTCATCGCTCAAAATTACAACACTCATCTCTCATTACAATACTCATTGCTCAACCTTATACTTAACACACAATTCTTATTCATCACTCAATATTAACTCAGCTCTCAAAACAACGACTGGATAGTACTCTCATCGTACAACTCTATGACCAGATAACTACTTCAACAGTCAGCACTATGTCGGGATATCAACTTTATCGGACAAGACACTAACAGGATAACTATTTATCGCATAAAGACACTAACCGGAGTGCATTTCATCGCTCAAGACATCTTTAAATAATACCATATCGCTTAAAGTGTGTTCGGATACCTACTTCATCGGACAACACATTTTCCGGATTAGCTCATCAGTGGACCGGCCTTTGTCCGGATTGAGTATTCATCGGACAACACTATGTAAGGATTGAGCATTCATCTCCCAACTCTTATTCCTTCAAAAAAAACCTGTAAAAAATATTTCAGTTAAAATTTCATCTCACAATCGAATACGAATAAAAAAAAATACTTACTCCCCTTTGAAAATATATTAGATAAAATCCAAACACTATAATAGTTGTAACATCTCCCATCCACGTGGTCCGGAACGGGCGTTGTCACTAACGGGACTTAATTCAAAGACACAAACATTATAGAGCTACTAATAAACTCCAAACGTAGATTAACTTCTAAAACATGCTTTACAATCCAAAATATTACATTCTAACAACTATTTATAAGCTTAGAATATTATACATCTACAAACGAGTTTACCAACTCCAAAAGGTTAAACGCTCGATCTCAAGTCCCGTCCCTATCAGTATCACTTGGAACCTGCCGTGTCAGAAAACAAGAACATGGCTGAGCACGGAGTGAAAAGATTATAATATAAACTTGAAATAATAATACGTGACATCCATAATAAAGCGGAAGTCTTAAAAATCAATTAAACTGAATTCATATAAAATCAAGACGTTTCACAATTCTCATTTCAAAACATCATTTAAACAAAATATGTCAATTCTTGTGGTGTTCGTGGGGTGGCCAAACCACACGAACTATCGGGCCGGCATGCGGGCACACAACCCGAGTCCCCTGTGAATTTAACCGTGGTCACATGTGGGTAATCCTAGGATTGATCCATCCATACTGGATCCAACAAAATCGGCTAGTCCACAAGATGGGTTCACGTAAGCCACTATTGGGCCTAACCCTGTGGATCGAGTTCACCTGTAGGACGCCATGACTACAAAGTCACCATAGAAGGCATCCCAAATAATGTGCCCATTAATTAGGTTGTTCTGAAAACCAATAAAACTAAACATGTGCCACTACCCGGATGACTTTCATAAAAAGTCAACCTTCAAAGTATTTCATGAAACTCGAAACTACTTCAAAATATGAGAATCAATTTAATAAACTTGAAAGATTTAAACAAACAATTCAACGGACCAAAATCAAATGTTGATGATAAAGATTCAAGGTAGTGAACCACCGTTATGAAGGGTCAACTACAACGACTAGTTGCCGAAGAGTCAAAGAAAGTGAAATCCTTAACTTAGGAGGAATAAAGAAGTAAAGCACGATCAAACGAGATTCACGGTAAAGTTCAACTTGCTCGCATGCCTTACGAATGCGCAAATCAGTTTTTACTTAAACGACGTAAAACAATATCCTAATTCTACTAATAAGTTACTTAGGTCCTACATGTTTATAAACAACTTAAACTTCAAATAGGACAGCCGAATATGCATTAAGAAATCGACTAAACACTTAGATTTGTATAATTCTGTTTCGACTTTTAACAGCTTTTGACCCTCATTTTCGTGAGCATTTTTACCCCACTTAGAGGTCAATACAGAAGATACTATCTAAATGAAAGTTGTACTATGATATATGATGAATCTACTAGTTTTAGAATCACCTCATTCAGATTATCCATCTTTTTTTATACGAATTTTATAAAACAACAGATTAATCCTAAATACAGTGCAAATAGCCTTGAAAACACATTGTTTCGAGCCATTTAGATTCATAACTGGAGTTTCGACCTTTCATGAAAGTTGTAGTATACAATAAGACTTTCTAACTACAAAATAGGAGCTTATTCTGACTTACGGTTTGTGAATTATACACTGTCAAAGTATGGACCTGCATAGACTGTAAAATCCAACTTTTAAACTCCCCAACTAACTTTTATGATCCAACTTCCATGATTCGGTACATTTACGTGCTAAAACATACTTCAATATACTAAAAAGTAAAACAAGTCCAATGATCGCTAACATAGGCTTAATCATGCAATTTTACTTTTTTCGACATTATATCGAACAATTGGTGTGCGGTTAAACATATACACCAAATCTAACCATATTGATACTATAATCTACCATTTTAATTTCTACATCAGTTTAACCAATCCTAACATTCTGAACATGAAATATATCATACTTTTAACAATATTCATCCGTAAACTTAGACATAACATAATTTATAAACTTGTCTAAAAAAATGCTAATGTAAGCACCCTAATAAAAGTGAATGAAATTTATACCATTAAGAAAGGTTCGGAGAGTGGATTCTGAATATGTAACTGTTACCTTGATTTCTTCAATGATTTGAGAGATATTTTAGAGAGAAGACGAGAGTTTTTAGATTGAGAAAAATGAGACGGAGAAGAGGCGGTGATATGTGACGATGATGATTGTAATTTACTCTCATATATATATATATATATATATATATATATATAATTATAATTATAATAAATTTAGCAATTTGACGGTTTTAAACCCCTCAACAATTACTGATCGTTATTTAAACTATGGTACAATTCGGGTAAGTTAACAAGTAAGTTTTAAAACTCGGGCCTTACAATAGTTGATACCAAATGATAAAAATCCATACACTCCCTCTGGAATTAATATCATATTCAAAATCAGTACAAAAGATAGAACATTATATTCCCTTTATTCAGGTAAGCTCAGGTTCTGAACT